TCGCTCTTTTGTATAAAGCTTATTTACATTATAATAGGGCATCTACTATCCATATAGAATAGGATAATTTCCTCGATTTTTCGCGGTATAGGTGCCTTAGGAGCAAAGGACAAAACAAGAAAATGAGGAATAGAAAATAAAAAAATACATTATTTTAGTGAAAAAGACATGTAAATGATAATAGTTTAAAAATACCAAAACGACAAATTATTCGCAGTTCAAACAGACTTTTGTACAGAATGTTTTGATAGCTACAAAAATACGAAGTCAAGTAGGTAGTAACTTTGAATACGTATATATTTATTATTAAAGATGTAGTATGTATGTATATGCAATATATTAAAGATTACAAATAAAACATTTTATTATGAATTTTACTATTTTATTCTAAACATCTATCCGTGGCGTCTATCCATACAGGTAGGCATATATCCTCAAAAATATGTTTGCAAAAAGACAATTTCTTCAAAATCAGTAAATGTTAGATGAATAAAATCAAGTATTAATGTAATGTAAAAGATTAAACTAGCTATATCCATAGGAATTGTTAATAGTAAACTAATAATTTTTAAATTAGGAGGCCCTTTCAAAAAGTGGGGCATCTATCCCGGTTTTATCCTATTAATATTTCATACGTATGAATATTTTTCTTAATACAAAGAACAATGTCATAAATGTACTTATGTATGTACTATTAGTTGCAGTAGAACACTATGTGAAAGAGTTCGTTCAGGGAAGTACTGCGACCTTACCTATTTCTGCCGCCAAGCTGTAATGTCACCATTCTGTGTCCCGGTTTTGAAGGGTAAAAGGGTGCTGGTGAAATTACAGGCACATGGGACTTCTTAATTTATGTCTCAGGGTGACGGGCGCAGTGACAGTGTTCTTCAAATCTTGCGATTTAAAGGTCTGAGTGGCACTGCAGCTGTTATGGACAGGCGTGTAACTTACCATCAAGTGCATGACTTGTTCGTTTCGTCACTTGATATTGTATAAAAAAAACTTGAACAGGGTAATACACAATGGTTCTTACTATATTTTTTTCCAAAAATTAATAACGCACAACTACGACAACAGTTTGATTTTAGAAATTGTCACTCACGTATAAAACGTCCCTTTGAGCATGTGTCTGTGTTAAAAGGGTATCTAAAACCATAATGTACCTCGTTATTTCAGAGGATTTATGAATAATACCCAGAAAATCTAAATCAGCTGTTCTGTAGCCTACAGTTCAAAAGCTTTTCCCAAGTTATATTTATTATACAAAATCACGCAACAAATTCAATTTTCCATTACTTCGAATTCAATAGCAAGAAGAAATATTACTTGCTTTCTGAAAGAACCATCAAAGCTAATGATAATGTATTTTGACAGATGGTACGAGCACAAGGCTGCGTGATCCGAAGGGGGTTATTTATAAACGTAGGGGTGAATTGTAACGAAATATCAATTATTTATAATAGCTCTGCGTATATTAATGATAACATTAAAATTGGATCGCTACGACATTAATTTGTTTCAAGAAATTCAACCTTTTTTGAAATATACGAAAATGCTTAATCATTATTTGATTTCTATTAACTATAATAAAAAATTGTTATTTTTACTGCAAGGGCTCCGTCAAAGTTGTTGCTTACAGAATCGCTGCAGTGGCGCCACTGTGGCGCAGCAGTGGCGCCACTGTGGCACTGCAGCCGCGCCACTACTAATTTTCATATCCTACTTAGAAGCGCAGTTGCAGTCACAATTAGTAAATGAATAATTGTAACTTTTATTGAAAAAAAACCGACCTCAAAACTTGCTTATCGGCTTTCGAATGCCATGGGATCCCCTTCCCTTCCCCTTCCCTTTCCTCCCCTTCTTGGTGACAATGGAACTGTTACAGACTCCTTTGTACATTTTATACTTTCTTTCTGGTTGTCGTGGTGACGGTGATTTGTTGATGACAAGTCAAGTGAAAAGTGTCGACTTTTTTTAATACTACATGTAACGGAACATGTAACGGAAAATATTTTTTTACTATAAAATAGCTGAAACGAACCCGGAACAGCTTCCTTGGCACCAGGGACTACCCAGGGAATACCCTTTTAAACAAAAAAAGAATTTTCAAAATCGGTCCACATTTGATGGAGAAGTAGGTATATACACTGACATGCCTATGAAATTTGAGGACTATCCTTGATTTCCATGGATCCCCTCATCAGATTTTGACTTGGCAACAATGAGACTACCACGAGAGTGCAACCTTTCAAACAAAAAAGAATTTCCAAAATCGGTCTCCAATTGGCGGAGAAATTTGAAACATACATACAGCCGAACGTATAACCTCCTCCTTTTTTTTTGAAGTCCGTTCAAAATTACTGAAGCACTACAGAAGCACGGCTGCCGCGCCACAGTTGCGCCCCTCTAACGATTCTATAAGCGCCGAATTTGAAGGTTGTGCAACAAATAGAAAAAAAAACTGTAGAACTAGCATGTTCTCTGGAATAAAGCACTGAAATTAAATTTTTTTTTAAATGGCCTGGCAGTAAGCGACTCGCCTGTCTGTAACAGTTAAAGTGCCACTTATAGCTTTAAGTTACAAACATCTGAGGGGTACCCTCACTGTAAGGTATTTGTCGGATATTTTTCCACACCATTACATCACTCATATCGCCGAGGTTAAATACATAATAGCACCGGCACACATTACGGCCACGGCAAGTATGAATCTATTTTCAACAAAGGTGGTCTACAACGAGTAAAATCTCATTCATTGCTTTGCATTAAAATGTATCATAAAGGTTTAAAATTCAGTTTAACCCGTGTTCTCAACATGGGAATAGAAAATTTCGAAAAAAGAAATGAGACGGTTCACGAATTTAAATCAATGCAAGCAATCTGGGTTATTTCACAGATTAGGTCACTTGTTCCTCATTTATCACTGTTCAAAGGAAGACAGAGCTTTGATAGATGAATCGACGAACACGATGCTGTTGTATTAAAATTTTCAATCAAGCATGCTATTACGTGTTTGTACTTAAAATTTATTTTGCAATTTAATTTTCGAAAGCTCTAATTGAGTCCTGGTAAGAATATTTCTTATGTCTACTACTTTGTAAGGAATTCCACAAATATGTACATGTGCTTCAGTTTAGTTTACTTTAGAAAATGTTTTCTAGAAAATACCGTCTTGGACACTCGTAATAAAAGCCAGTGAGTGGGAAAACTCTCATCATATTACTGAACCTTTTTCCCATTTACTTTGGGGTCGACTTGCGTCGAGAAACACTGAATCCCTAAATGGAAGCACAGCTTAGTTTGTACAAGTATCTAAAGAGGCAATAAAATTATAATAGTATAAAACAACTTTATCTTTTGCTAACGCAGAATTGACAATGTTAATCTGATCTGTTTACTTCTTATGTTTTAATCTGTTTACTTGGGCTGAGTTTAATCTACATTCACCAGACATCCGTGTTTCATTTCCAGTTTCATTAAGTTAGTTTCCAGTCGGGCTCGCCGGGCTGTTTTCAGCATGTCGCATTACATTACATGTCAACATGCCACTCCCAAGTTGTCCTAGTTTGTACATTTTGATCGATGATATGGTCATCGTGGCTTTTTGGCTATATATTTTATTGTCACACACTATAGACAATCGAAATGATTATAAAAATGAAATGAATGAAATGAAACCACACAAACTTCGGCTTAATATTAATTGTAAATATTCTTTACAATATTTTTGAAATTAAAGAATAACGCCAGAAGACTCTCTGAAATGATAAGTGAGGTGGAAGTGAATACAGTTTTTATCGATCTATCTAAATTTCTGACATCAAAATTATGAACTCGTAGTGTATAGGTTTTAAGATCATTAGTTTTCACTTAGAGGTGATGATCATATATGTGAAAGCTTAAGCTACGAATATCTTTTATCGTCCCAAAAAGCGATGAAGTACGCCATTTAGGACGTAACATTATCGTTAAATATTTTGGTAACAAACGTCGAGGGCGGTTTGCCGTACTTATTATATTTTAGAGTACATGCTATAATCCGTAAATCATCCGTGGACTTTTGGTTTTTCTTTCAGGTAATTGAAATTGTGACACAGCATTCGACCTTGTTATACAATAATCTCAGTACACACTAAAAAACCGACCTCAAAAGTTAGTGGAATTACATCAATTTGCCAAGTTTTATTGAAATCGGATACCGGAAAGTGCGCGAAACTGGATTCATCCCCTAGTTTGCCAACCTTAGAGGTGGAATATTTTCTTCAAATTTAAATGAGACCACTACTGGAGTGGGTACCGCCAACGTCAAAAGGGTTCTTTCCAACGAAAAAGAATCTTCATTAACGGTTTACAAATGCCGAGGTTGTAGCGTAATATATATTTTAAAAAAAAGCAGTCGAATTGAGAGCCTTCTTCTTTTTTGAAGTCGGTTAGAAAAACTGCAATATGCACCTTAATAATATTGCCCGTGAACACAAAATTTACGTCAATAAGATTATTTATTAGATAGAACAAAACACACCAAACTCAATTCATCTGAGTAAAGTTACGACGAATCAGCATTTGGTTGTGTAAAAACTGTTGCCTACAAAATATCTATACTATCAAAGCGTTGAGTCCAAAGTCCCAAGCCAAAGATATATGGAAGGTTTATTGAATAAAATGTCACCTCGCAGGGCCTGAACCCTTTATTTCCCGGAGATAAATTATTGCATATAGTTAGGATGTTTTTGGGGAAAATGTGACTTTTGATAGAGACGGCTTAGATGAGATGGCAATGGATTTTCGGTTTGTATTTTGTTGACATTCAAGTGTAATATACCAATTTCGAATAAGTAACTTCTAAATACGTTTGAATTCATAAGACGCGACAAATTTAGCTTTAGCAGCTTGCGCTTGGTTTCTCATTATGTCACAGCAAGAAGTATTTCATCGAATGAGTACCTGAAAATCTTATATTATGTGTTTTTATTTACTTATGTTTTTTCCTTTCTTTCCAGTGCCTACCACGATATGACAATAACTTACAAGTAGAAGATTAGAGGAACTACTAGTGATGGTGTTACAATGTTCATAGCCGTAGTAAAACCGATACTGTGATACGTTGTACGCCGCAGTGGACTGTGTGTCAAGTGATGTGGTGAAGCCGATGGTGGTGATGGTGCTATACCGAACACAGGCATGGCTTGTGGTACTGCACCTGCTTGCTGCTTTAAAATTCGGTAAGTAGAAGTTCGATTTAATGATTTTTAAAAGGCTGATCCAAAAAAATTATATATTTCTTTTAAATGAACGGGAAAAGCTTTTGCGGTAGTACCGTACCTACTTTTAAAGAGAATGTGAAAGGAACTACAGGGGACGAGGCGGCGCGGCGGCGCCTAACCTAACGTAGTGTAATTAAGAACTAACTTCAGCTATCATGATTATCTACTTAGTACGGTCGGTGGGATTAGGTGTACCTTAGTATAGGGTAGATTCTTAGGCCGGTTCAGAGGCCGTGACGATAATCATTTGCGATTGACTTTTGTAGTATAATGATGAAATAAATTATAGCTACATTACGTACACATTGATAGAACGCGTGCCCACTTACATTTTATTAAGAAAAAAAATTGACGATGCTTTATTTATAAGTAACACTCACTAACAACTATCATTCGACTCCTCCCTTTGTATTTTTCACGCACACAAACAGAACAAGTTTGACAGACACAAAAGAGTTTGATAAACTACGAACAACCCAGCTATGAGAGAGTATGAATTCCATCAACAAGGGCGGCCGTGACACGAATGATGGAATGGAACTGCACGCACTCCCCTATGTATTATTTATATGCCGCGCTGTGATGCGAGCGTGATCAATGTAGGCCAAATATACAAATTTGTCATAAGTATATTTGCAAATAATAGCACATTTGCTCGTTCGCAGTAGAATGAAACATTTTGATTTTAGCTTTGTTCAATGTGGCACTGTACTGAGTAAAGAATCCAAACAAATACGTGTAATTTTTATTTGGGTACTTACGAGTTATCGTGGTAGAGACATAGATTTTATAAGTATTATGAGTTTTTTTTTACAATATCAAGTGATGAAACGAACATGTCGTGTACCTGATGGTAAGCCATGCGCCTGTCCACGACAGTTGCAGTGCCACTCAGAGCTTTAAATCGCAAAAATCTGAGGGGCACTGCCACTGCTCCTATCACCCTGAGACATACGTTGACAAGTTCCATGTGTCTGTAATTTCACCAGCACCTTTGCTTGCAGTAATGCTAACATTACTGCTTGGCGGCAGAAATAGGTAAGGTGGCAGTACTACTCTGAACGAGCTCTGAAGGAGCTCTGCTGTGACTAAACTTATATGTATTGTAACACCACAATCCAAAACAATAATTTTAGATACTTCGCGATGTCTATAGATGGCGTACGATCAAAATAAAACGCCTTATCAAAATTTTCTCTCCAAGTGATGACATCATGCGTAGCATTTTGTACTGAAAGAGGTACAACGTGCTAAGGTCCTCAGCTGTACTGCCTACCTTGCTTGCTGGTGAGTTTCCACTTGTAGGACTCTCCTGGGACTCGTTATTTAGTCTGCTGAAGTACCTCTTACCTGCCCTGTGTTGTTAGTCATGCCTACTTCACCTCATATTATAGCGGTACAATATATGTATAATTATACTGAGACTAGAATTTACACAACTTATATGGAAGTATATAGATATGATCTACGATTAAGGCGGTCATACACAGCTATATATGACCTAGCGTCAGATGCAGGCGAACCACAAACCATATCGGTCTGCCTCAATCGAGCGCTCTCGCCGGAAAAAATATATTAGCTCTCTCCGTGGCATAGTGCGGTGACTGGACTGGTAATAGGAACAGTTAGAAATATTAATATTAGAATATAAAATACTAACGAGTAGATGTATAATAATAGATTGTTATACAAGTGATGAAACAATTAAATTGTGCTAGATATGTTCCGTTCTCGAGAGACGTGAAATTGTAAATAAAGAGAAACTGGATCTTTACATAGTATAAGAAATAAAAACAGATTGTTAATAATACCCATAAAAACAAAGTGTTACCAAACAAATTAAATTAACATAAAAAAAATATTGTACCTAATTATTTAATACTGTATTGAAATCTGGAATTGATTATGATTCCCAAATTTTGTATATTTGTTCTATGAAATATTTTTCTCGTTTTTCCTAAATTGTAAACAAGTGTTTAACAAGATGAATTGCTCTGTATAAAAATGCTACACTGTCCTTTACGAGCACGTTGGTGAAATAATATTTTATTTCAAGTATACTTTTATGTTTGTTCCGTAAATAAGTAGTAATGAGTTTTCCCAGTAATGCCCAAACGGCATAGGGAGTATTTCACCATTCTTCTTAAAACAGTTCAGCCACTGTTATATAATCACAGAAATCGAAATAAATGTGTGTATATATACAGCACAAATTTAAAACACGGCGAGTACACTTTTCGACTTTTTTCATTACATTTTCGTATTCACCTCTATGTTACTCTACAATAATCTAAAATCCGTAGTATCCATGTTTTTCTATGTGTTCTATATGGTATATAAAAAAGTCCGGAGTGCAGTAAGTTTCCGTAATAGTGTAGCCACGCTGGTTTCCACAACTCGACGTCGTCGTAGTACCAATTTTGCGATGCAAAGTCCTTTTAGTGCAACCCGGGGTCCTCCAGGAATCGTAGCGTTTAATTTTATTAATTAAAAAATTAAGTGCGCATTTAACCTCCATCTCACCTTGTGGAAAATGACGATGAGGTCGACGATGGAGTATGAACACTTAAATATAATAGAATAGACATTTATTGCAACGCCACAACACATAGATACAAAAAATAATTGATAACACTTTGACAAGCAAAACAAAATAAAATATACAAAAAACAAAAAAGGAAAACAATATAAAATTAGAAAAAACTGACAACAAGCAAAAAGAAAAAACAAAATATAACGACTACAAATTCTGTTATTTGTGCGGTTGTGGCGTACGCAAAAGGGCTTCATTCAGGTTATGCCACAACCATAACTGACTGTGGCGCTGGTTTTCAATGAGCCCTGATAATGATAATAAATAATGCCTTTCACTTTTGTCTTATACAATTCAGGAAACAAGTCTGCAGCAGAGAGCTGTTCGCCATATAAATGTGGAAGTAAAAGCCTTCGTGCGAATCCTTGCAATATCCATAACAATTGGGTTTGTTGAAGACTTTGTAGAGTGACCTTGGCACTCCGAAGTATTCTGCTCTGTAGTTGGCCATGCCGGTGCATTGTAGACTCCTTCCTGGCGCGCTCTGCATAGAAGGTTGTTCGGGATACTTAAATTAAAAAAGTATTTGTTGTATGGATCGTGAGCCATTAAAGAGGCGTCTCAATGACTAATTCATAGTTTCAAATCAGTTTTCAGCAGGCTTAGCACGAGCATAAAGACGAAATATATGTGTCGCGTCACAGGAATAAATCTAGAAAGAACGGCGATGTGGGCGGGACACGCGTGCCACAGTCTTGACATATCTTGATTCCCCAAACGCTCCCTCAGTACGCATCGATTTTTGCTTGCTTGCACCTGCTATATTTTGCTATTTAAAAGCCTAAGTAAAAGTGCGAGTGACTGTTGGTCAAAAGGAAAGTCTCCTTTCACGGTTAAGTCATTTTCAATAACGAAAAAACGTAAAGTAATTAAACATTTTGTTTACGACCTTTTAAATTACAATATAGCTAAACTCATATTTCTTTCCGTACTAAACAGAATGCATTATACGTTCAACGCCCTGCGTAGCGAGCAGCCTATTACAAAAAAAGTTTGACATCTACTCTCATGCCTACCGTCGGGGAATGGCACGTGTAAATTAGTGGCGTAGTAAAGATAATTATGGATTTATCGACTAAATCTTGAAGACATAAACTATTATGTTGAACTAAAACAAAAATTATCATTGTTATTATAAGTTTTTAAGTAATCATGAATCATAATGTGCAGTGAAATAAAACATTATCAATCAAAATTAGTTTCATTGTGGACAAATTAGTTTTACCAACCTGTAAAGCTTATGCATTATTTGTATATACTTAACATCTTTCATTTAAACTACGTACCTATTAATTTGTAATGTATTCCATCATATTGCATTTTATTTTCTTATTACCTGTATAACAAATTAATATAATAAATTAACTGCTTCCGTGGCCAAACGGTTACCATGCTGGATAGCCACGCAGAGGTCCCAAGTTTGATGGCCGGGCCGGGAGAAATACTTGATTGCCCTACATTTATTTCTCTCGTGAGTTTAGGTGTAATTTCTGGTTGTCTACCTATGTGTGTGTCCATGGCATCCGCGATACATTGTTTCCCTAGTACGAGGCTATTAAAAAAGAAAAAAAAAACAAATATCGATACCGATAGTTGTTGGTTTATTTTCTTAAAAATGACGTCACTCGATATAAACAGGCGCGAGCACGACCATCGCGTGCCCTATTAACTATTACTATGTAGCACCCCAATCGGTAGATAAGGAAATAGTTTATCTTATAGCTTGTGAGTCTTGTCTATTTGCATTAGTGGTCAGTCTGCTGGTGTGTAATTAAATGTTCATTGGTTACTATAAAAAATTGTATTAATAAGAATACTGTTATTTCGATACCTGTTAATTTGGCGACTCTAATATTTTATTCAATACATATTGTCCACGCGAATTCAGTGAAGGAAAAAGATTCAATACGTGCCCAATGCAATGTTTCACGTTTGTAAAATTTTGTAAATTGTAGCTTTAAATCTAACTGAAGTAACGAAATAAATCAAATTATTTGACTTTGAAAACAACAACAAAAACTACAATTTAAAATAAAGACAAAATTTCGTGACTTATTTTATCAATAAAATATCTCAACAAAGTTTGTACAAAAAATATTTCCTTACTTCATTTCAGAGACAACGTATGGTGGAGGCACCAGTGGCCGACAAGTACCACTTTCTCTTTCTCACTTTTTTAAATTATTTTCTAATAAGGTTCAGGATAAAATTTTCTATCATAGACGTTTCTTACTGGTAAGTGTCAATTACTAGGTATTCATAGTTGTAGTCGTAGTCGATTACTATCGACACTCACAAAATTATCATGCAGTCACAACCAGTAGGTTAGTTAATTAATGGATTTTTGATGTTCTTTAGGTACAGG